AAAAAAAAAAAAAAAAAGATGGTCAAGGCCACTAAACTCTTTCTAACTTCCTCTTTTCTGAGTATTAATATATTTATTTTCTTTGATAGAAAAATGCTATTCAGGTCCTCCATGGAGACATGCATTTACTTTTATTATAAACTCATCTTTTCAGTCACATCTTTTCAGTTGCTTTTTTTTTTTTTGACACTCTACCACAAAAAGATTTTTAAAAGTAAATTTTATGATACAATTTTTAAAAGTTTGGTTTACATCCAAAATTGGATTTTTCTTTGTTGGGGGCAGGAAAAGGGAGAGTTGATGAAAAATTCTAGCTGCTTCTCTGAGCTAAGGCTAAAGGTTTTTTTCTTTGTTGTTTCTTTATCACGTTTGGTAAATTAGGGACACACATCACCACCAAATAACAGATTATATGCCAATTTTCCATTTTGGCTTTGCTTTTTTTCCTGCACAGTATGTTGACTTTTTTGGAAATCATTGCATTACAATTCTAGGCTAAGAGTTTACCTGATCTCTAGTTTGAATGTGAAAGAGGATGATTTGATGTTTTGTTTTTTTTTTTTCTTTTTTTTTTTCTGTCGCCCAGGCTGGAGTGCAGTAGCTCGATCTCCACTCGCTGCAACCTCCGCCTCCCAGATTCAAGCAATTCTCCTGCCTCAGCCTCCCCAGTAGCTGGGACTACAGGTGCCTGCTGCCACACCTAGCTAATTTTTTTTTGTATTTTTTAGTAGAGATGGGTTTTCACCGTGTTGTGCAGGCTGGTTTTGAACTGAGCTCAGGCAATCTGCCTGCCCCTGCCTACCAAAGTGCTAGGATTACAGGTGTGAGCCACCGTGCCTGGCTGATATGATGTTTTCAAATGATTCTTTAATTTCTCCATTAATGAAAATAAAGTGAGTTACACTTGTGTGATTATGGATTTTAATTCTAATTTAAGTTGGGTTAAAGAAGTTTTAGTGCCTCCACTAAAAATGGATAGAATATAGATGAACTACTCAGCTTTACTATGTATCCTGAATGAGTTAAAAGGTACTCAAACCGTAAGAAATTACAAACATCTCTAACACAAATCTAAACACAAAATGCAGGAACCATATTATCATCTGTCTTCCTTCCTGAGTAGCTCACAGTGCATGAATGTAGCAAAATCAATAAATGTTGAACTCATGATGCCACCTAAGTATTCCTGCCTCAATAGTCTTCTAACAGTGTGATACCTGTGAATAAGTACATTTCTTTATAATGATCTCTAAAAGATGGCTTAAATTCTTTGGCTGCATTGAAATCTATAAAATATTGCTTTTAATAAACCACTGTCTTGAGTCTGGAAATCGTTTTCTACACAAAGTCTTTGTTGCATTTGGAGGGGTGGGGGAGGAATGGCATTTTTTTGTAACAGGATTTGACCTGTAACTATTATTAAGAATTTTCTTAGAGGAGTTCAAAGCATTTTACAGGGATCATCTCATTTATCCCTCGAAAGTAAGGCAGAGGCATTATCTCCACTACAGATTGAGAACACTAAAAGGCCAAGATAGGTGGGGCTTTTTGTTGTTGTTTTGCTAAGATCAAAAAGTAATTCTAGGGCAAAGCCAGATTCCGGTCTGACCTTGTTACACGATGCTTCTTGCAGCACCATAATACAATGTAGTTGCTTCCTAGGTCTCCCTTTGGCTATGCTAGGTGTTGAATAATTTTCGGGGTCGATTTTTATTCTTTCCCGTTCCCTGAAAATGGGTGTTAAGATGTAGATAAGTACAAAAGAAAACTCCCCAGTCCTTCCTATCTGGATTTGGAGTACAGGATAAACAGACAGAAATAGGCATCTTCCTCCCCTCCTCCAAGTTTTACTGCCTAGCCCAATGCTAATAGAAAAATAACCCGAACCACAAATGCAAGTCACATGTATAATTTTAAATTTTCTAGTAGTTACATTAAAATATATTGTATTTAGCCCAATACAGCGTATCCAAAATATTAACACTTCAACATGTAATCAATATAAAATTATTGAGATATTTTGCATTTTTTTTGGTATGGCTTCAAAATCTGGTGTGCATTTCTCACTCATAGCTCATTTCAATTTGTTGTAGCCAAATTTCAAATGCTCAGCCGCCACATGTGACTAGGGAGGACACTGTTGGACAGCACAGTTCTAGACTTCAGTAGCTCTCCCTTCAGATTAATGCCATGTGAATCGAATGGGTGGTATGAAGAATGGATGCTGAGTCCTCGGAGAATCAACTTGCACTTAGGTGATGACTGATAAGAATCCCTAGCTGTGCCATTTCCTGATACATGACTGTTTTTGAAGTTATGGACTCAGGAGCTAGAAGACTGCAAATCCCCAAATATATCTAATACCCAAGCTCAGGCCAGGACCGTGCTTCCAGGCCTGTGTGAGAACCTAAGCTTTGGACTGTCAACTTCTAGGGTTGCAGATTCGTTGGGCCTTCACATGTGGCCCGTGAAAAGGAGGCATCACTGGAGGAAGAGGAGGGCTCCTAGAGGGGGAAGGCCACCCAACTACGGGCTTCTTGAGGACAGGTGCTCCAACTGGCCGCTTCCTGAGGGCAGCGAGTCCTCTTGTGGCCTTAGGCAGGGCCCTGAAACCGGCCTCACGTGTTTGCAACTCGAACTCCTGTGCTTCCACCAAGCACTCCCGGGGATGCGGGGGTGGTGTCCGCGCCCCGGCCCCAGCCCGCACCCCGAAGTGGCTCCAAGGCCGCAGGTG